AAACCAGTCTATCTGATCAGGTCTCCTTTATCAAAAATGTTTACAAAGAAAGGCTCATTGAGGCACAATTTGAAGGTGAACAGAAATTGAATGACTTGGATTTGCAAGGAATATGTGTAAAATTGGCACATCAGAGGTCTTTTTTCACAGGATGGAATAGGTGCTGGAGACTCACTCCCTTGCCTGGCTTGAGCCTCAACAAGACAGAGCTGAGGTCAGGTCTTTTACAGCCCACATGAAAGCATGAACTGCCTCTCCCTAGAATCACAAAAAAAAAAAAACATTTCACATTGCCATGACAACACAAACCACTGTTAAGCCAGATAGGAATATAATTTAGTTCCTCTTTCACTCCTTGAACAATGTTAAATAATTTTGAGTAAATCAGATCTGGCTCCAAGACAGAAAACAGTAATACTCTTCCCACACAGCACTGATAGGATACAGCATCAGGCAGGCCCATCATTTCTCTCTCTCCCCTTTATTTCCTGCCAGGTTCTTCTTGATTAAGCAATGATGTAAAATAGTGAAACAAAAAAAAAGTAGGAGATCCCCAAAGGAAATCAAGTGTGTGCTGCAGCTTGTTGTTTTTACAGTCACATCTGTCTTTTGGACAGACTGGTACCTGTGAGTGCTCCATTTACTTTTCAGGGAGAAAAAAAAAAAAAAAAAAAAAAAAAAAGAAAAACTATAACTGTTTCCAGCAATTGCACTTAACAGCCACTTTTAGTCAAGAGTTTCTGTTTGGCTCCCATGCTTCCAGGAAACATTGTTCTGTTTGCTTTCAATGGCAAAGGAAAAATAAATTAATAAATGGTCCCTCCAGGGTTTTGTCTAGGAGTAAGGATACACCCTTCAGAGCAGGGAACTGAGCACACGCTGAAGGGAGAAGAGATTAAATGCAGGGATCAGCTGTAATTGATAATGGTCCTTCTCATGAACTTGAAAATAAAGTGTAAAGGAAAAGATGAGAAAGAGGCAAAAATTTTCTAGAAATGCTACAAAAAATAGGCCAATATTAGCACTACACTGATCATTTTCCACCAACTTCTCAATTCCTGCTCTAGGACAAGAATAGAAACAAAACAGAGGAAAAGGCACAATGAGGGCAGTTCATGGCAAACTTTAGGGCATGACAGATCAGGAAGTTCAGGAAATCATGGGCAGGGGAGTGTATTGAGTTTCTGGGGTTCTGGTTTTATCCCAACCTATAAACCTGATACCAAAAGGATTGGAAAAAGGTGAAAACCTCTCATTCAAACAGGTATGGCTATGGGGCAGTAGGGCACGGAGTTCAACCAAGGTGAAAGGAGAATGAATCTTCTGAGTGCTATTAAAATCCACTAACCAGTTACCTCGTGTGTGTCACTTCCCTCCATCCATTCTGTGTTCCTGTGTTTATTTTGTGCTCTGGCCTTACCAAATTCTGGACTATACAGTAATTTATCACAGAATTACAGGCAGCAGGCCTGTACAGGAACAGGAATGGCCACGGGCAGGCATCCATGGCTACCTGGGAGTGGTGAGGTGTACAGGTCCCTGGAAAGTTTTACTTTCCAATAGCAAATGGGAATCTTGAATTCAACAGGGATTGTACCTTCTCAGGAACATCCTTCATAGCCCTGCCTGGCAAATTAATTTCAAGAACCTAAAGCAAAGTGATCCCATATATGGCTAATGCCTAATTAGCAATTAATCTATTTAAGCAGAGTTTCTATTTCAGGATTCAGCTTTGGAAAGTCTATGAAATTAAGCATTTGCCCCCAGAAATAATTCTGGGCTAATTTAGGTAATATCAGACAACTTATATACAAAAAAATTTGGTTGTTTCAAGGGCATCAAGCTTGAATGGAACCCACAACCATTCTTGACACAAATGTTTGCACACAGATGTTTACACACGTCCAGGATTATAACATCCATATTCCAAATATAATTTATTGTGTGATACTTGGCACATCCAAACTTCAGCTGGGTAAAAGCAGCAAAAACATTGAAATACGATGGGATTATAACATCCATATTCCAAACATAATTTATTGTGTGATACTTGGCACATCCAAACTTCAGCTGGGTAAAACAGCAAAAACATTGAAACATGATGAGAAACTCTATATTTGTATTATTGTGTTACCTTAATTTTTAAAAACATTAAGCTGTGAATTGTGACTGGTGCAGCTGGTGGATATGGAAGGACAATGGAAGCTTCCTGGAGTGCTGGCTGTCATTATGTTAAGTTTCAATTGCCTTTCTTTCCTTGCACGTGCTAAAAGTATATGTAGAGTAAGATTAAATCCAACTAAAATTAAATTTACAGCAGTTACAATGGGGAGGCAAAATATGCATTTAGTTCTAAAGATAGGTGGGTAAAGTTAGGGCCCAAATCTCCCTAGATTGTCTAGGTTTCTCAGGGATGAATCCAAAGCACCTTCCTCAGGCTTTTTGTAAATTGTCTTGTGTTGGAATAAGCAGAGGATGCTTTGTCATCTGTGCAAACCACAGAATGGGAACACCTGCACACTCCTGGGATGGCAACCTGTACTCAGAAAAAGCAAATTGGATCACCTTTGCTTTGCTCAGCTTTGCCCAGGGAAAATTTGGGATATTTGGGATGGCCCATACAGGATTTGGGAATGTTTCCTTGTGCTTTTTCCTTTACAGAGAGTGTGGGTGTTTGGGATGCTGTGGGACTGAGACCATGGTAGGGGGTTCCTGGATAATCCTGGGAAGCATCCAGCCTTTATCATCTTCACTCAGAGGGCAGGGGGGCCCTGGAACAGGTGGCCCTGAGAAGCTGTGGCTGCTCCCTATCTGGAAGTGTCCAAGGCCAATCTGGATGGAGCTTGGAGCAACCTGGGGTAGTGGAAGGTGTCCCTAGGTGTTCCTAGGCTTTGGAACTGGATGACAGTTAAGCTCCATTCCAGTGCACACCATTCCTCTGGCTCTGGTCCAGGGGATTTTTCCAGATCTTTGGAACTGGATGATAGTTAAGCTCCATTCCAGTGCACACCATGCACTGGAATGGTCCAGGGGATTTTTCCAGATGCCTTCTGTCCTATTGCAGTCACCAGAAACTGATGCCTTGAGAAGGCAGAGGCTAGACACAGTTAAAGAATAAAGCAAGAATTTATTAAAAGGCCTCCATGGATGCACCTTGGGCAGCACAAGAGCCCAGCCAGGGCTGCACCCAAGATGAACCCAAATGGTCCCAAAATGCACGAGCGCTCACAGGGTCTCTCCCTGGGATCAGCTCTGCTCCATGTGCACATTGCAGTTCAGTGTCCAATTCCAGCTGCAGCCCCTGCACTCCCATCCTGCTTGTTTTTCTCTCTCCAGCCCACGGGGTTTGTGCTCTTGGGCTGAGATTTGGATCATTTGTCCTTGGTGCCCAGCTGGAGCAGGAATTGTTTTGTCTCCCTGCTCTGTGCACAGAGCTCACCATGCCCTGATGTGAAGCTCAGACCCACACACTAAAGCAGCACAGAATGCAAAAATATAAAAGCTGAAACCTGAGGCATCACTAGGATTCTATGGCCTTTTCCTGTTAGAATGTGTGACAAACAGAAGTTTGTGCCCAGGGAATCTCCAGGGCTCAGACAGCCCCCACAGTCCATGGATCAGGAGCTCTCAGCGCAGACATCACAGGAGCTGGTTGAACAGCCACGTCCCAGGCTTGCTTTGTCAGGGACATTTTGCTGAGTTTCTGGGCGATTACATTTGCCCACTTGACACTTGTTAGCAGTTTCGATACTGGCTGCTTCATGCCTTTAATTCCTTTGCTGGGTATGTTTCAACTATTTTAATGAGCCGATGATAACTTTGAAGGGTTCTTGTCTAGCACAAAGCAAAACCATTTGTGCCAGGAGTGGGAGCACCATTAGCAGCCATGGCCTGAATCCCTGCTCTTGGTTCAGGGTCTAAGTGCTGCAAAAGCACTTTAAAATACACCATCGAGCTTCTCTTTATTTAAGAAGAATGGAGGGGTTTAAGCCTGGAATTCACCTTAAATACTTTTTTTTTTCTTAAGAGCTTTACTGTAAATTGTTTAAACATTGTCACTATGAATACAAGGTCTAGTGGAAATAGTCCATGCCCACAGTAGTGGATTGGAATTAGATGATTTTTAAAGTCCCTTCCAACACAAAACTTTCAATGATTCTATGAAATATACCAAAAAATCGCACTTCGTTTTCTTTGATGTGGGTTTGGTGGGGTTTTTTTTTGTTTCTTTTTTCAGTAGTGTAATTATTGTATGTCTTCAATTATTAATTATCTATTTTATTTATTATTTTAATGATCATGAGCTAGAGCAGCTAATATGATGCAGTCCTATCACAAACCAAATGGAAAGAGAGTGGGTTTCGTCTTCACGGTTTTGGGCTTTGAAGCATAAAAAAAATAAGCCAAGTTCTTTGCAAGGTGTAGGCTAAGGAACAAATTGTGAATTTCACATTTTTTTTCTTAAGTTGCCTGAAATTTGTCAAAATAAACTATTCACTGTGAGTGAGTTCTGCAACTGTTCTGGCTCTCTCTCTCTGCCTCAGACATTCTGTAAGGTAAAAAAGGGTTAATTTGGAGTCAATGGAGGTACTGGGAAAACAGCAGATCAAATTGGAAAGGTATTCTAGAAAGTGGGTACAAGATCCTGGTTCTCTGCTTAATTTCTAAGTATAATTTGGAAGAGTTCACTTCCAAATTATAATTTCTAAGTATAATTTGGAACAGGGTCTGCTTTGCCTGCCATAAAAACAAAGAACATTCCTTTCCCTAAAGGGAAGCATCAAGTGAAGAGTGGAAAAGTAGAAACTGGCAGTCTTACAGGTGGCCATGTAAAAATGGTGACAAATTAAAAATGAAGAATCATGAACAGTTTGTATGTTAGCACAACTGATTTTTTTTTTATTTTTAAACCACCCCAAAATCCAATCATGCTCTATGTACATAGGCAATACATGGGATAGCACACCAAATGCAGACAAGAAAGATAAAATATATTCCGGTTTATTTTGCTGGTATTTTCATTTTTATTCTTTTTTTATTGTCCAACTGCTCAAGTTGATTAAATGATCCAATCCATACTGATTCCTATGCCAATCCTACCTCACCTCCCAATCCCACACTGTCTCTCAGACAGGAGAATCCATCCCATTACCTCTGGAGGGTTTTGCTGAATGATGGAGTGTGCTGATTTTCCATCAGTTCCTCTGGGCCTCATTTCTTATGGAAAATTGTTTAGTGCAGAACAAGTATATCAGCACGTGTCTGCTTTAACTATATTCTATAGTTAGTAGGTAGGAACAGCTAATGCTTTGGGTTACTCAGGAAATCATAAGTAGCACACGCACACACACAAATTTAAACAGAAAATAATCTTCCATGTCATTTAGAGTGTTAATTTTCTTTCTCATTTCCAGTGTCGTTTATTTTGCTAAGCACTGCTGCAATTCTTTCCACTTGTCTTTATGCTCTTATTTTCTTACAAAACAGTACACTAGGCTTTCTGTATAAAACATATATATAAACATATATATATATATATATATATATAAAAACAAAGCAACCACCCCCAAAATGGACTTACAGTTATGTATTTGTCCCTCATTAGAAAATATACCATGTGTTCATCTGTTTGTGGTCCCTGAAGGTCACAGCTGGCTGTTGGAATAGGGTCAGTGAGAAAGGGGACTTCTTTTCTCCTTGTTTTGCTTTAAATCACATGATAAATTTCACAAGGTGAACAAAATCAGAGTAGTCACAGGAACCATCAGATCCTGTTTACATCACAGATCCTGTACCACATCACTCTTGTTGCCATTGTTGCTACTCTTCAATTTGAATTCTAGTTATTACTTCCCAGGAGTTATTATATCATATATATTTTTTTTCTTTGTCACATATATTCTCCCCACACAAGAAACTGGATGGAGGTTCAGGGAGAATGAAACACTAGAAAGTCTGAAAGATCCTGTGAGTCTGGAAATTCTAACTTTCCTGGCCCTCTTTCTCAAATATGATCAATAATTTAGGAAATTATGGGTAATTTTACATAGCAAATAATCTTTAGTAACCTTTCCTTACAAAAGATCTTTTGGACACTGATTTGAAACTGTTTTTTTTCCCATTCATTGCTGGTATTAGATGCCAGCCTTGCATTTTTGTATAAATACTGGTTTTTCAAGTGTAAGGCCTCCGTTGTTGGTCCAGATGATTCTCTGTCCCCAATATCTATTCTTTCAGGAAACAAACTGGTCATTGGAACTATTTATTACTGAGTGTTATGGTAGGAGAACCCCCCATGCTAAATATACCTCAAAATTGGGTGGTACCAAGGGAAGGGTTAAACTTCAGCCCCAGTTTATTTAGGTCGTGCAAAGGTGACCTAAATAAACTTCACCCCATTTTGTTTAGGTCGTGACTTCTCAACCTAAAAACTCTGTAATTGAAAAACCCCAGATATAAAAAAATGCTATTAGGATTGGGGTAAAAACAAACAAAAAACAAAAAAAAAAAAAAAAAAAAAAAAAAAAAAAAAAAAAAAAAAAGGAAAACTGTATTGAATTAAAAAAAACAAAGTACTGCTTGCTGGTTTACAAAGAGTCTATAACACTGATAAAATCTTCGGAAACCAATGTGCTGCTTTTTTTTCTTTTTTTTTCTTTTTTTTCTTTTTTTTTTTAGCCTCTCTCCATGCCCTTCTTTATTTTGGCTTCATTTCAACCCGGGAGTTCATATCATCCCCTTCCAGGTCATACTCTTCTACTTGGCCACTGGTCCACACCTTCATGCGGTCGGTGAGGTCGCTGGTTCTGGGCGCCAGGATGAAGTCGTAAATCAGGGCAGCACTTGCTCCTCCAATGATTGGGCCAACCCAGAAAATCTGGAATACAAATCCAAGACATTGCATCAGGTATTTCTGCATTTGAGGCTCCTCTGAGGATTTTCACAGTGAAATTTGCAGCCTGTCCACCTGATTATTTACTTAACCATGTGACATAAAAACAGGAATTTGTCACCATGAGTTGGTGGTAGACCCAGAGGTGAATAACTGTGACTATGCTGTCAAATTGTGATATTTAATATCAGTTGCCTACTGCTAAAACATCTCTACTACTCCAGATGGAGTTGGCAGGGGAGCATAATTTCTAAAACGACAAGGCATTAGTTTTCTATTCTCCTATTAAATTCCGTGATAGGTGAATTTGAAAGTAATACTTAACAAGGACTTAATTAGGGGCTTAATTTACCCCTAGATGGTGCTTAGCTGGTGATGTTGCTGTGACTGAACTGGCCTAACCACTTAAGAAAATTAAAATTTAGAAGGAGAGGTAATAATAGGATTTTAGTAGACAAGTTGATTTTGTTAGAAATAACAGAAGATGTTGAAGACTTTGCCAAAGCACTACTGAGTCTGGAAACTCTTTCTTTTATTCAGCAATATCAGTAGTTTAACACAAATTATTACATCTATCTTCTTCTGTCTCTACAAAGGATAATATTTTTCCTATTAAATTCTGAAAATATCAGCTCCTCACTTAGTTATTTCCCTATAGTGTCCTAATAATAATGTTCAAGTGGTAGACACTGCCAAAATTTCCCCAGTGTCCTCCTTTTTGTTTTACTCCTTAGATGAAAATGGAATCCGTACCCAAAATTTTCACAACCCCATTGCATTACCACTAAATTTCCACCTGTGCCTATGCAACTGGCTGCCAAAATCATGAGTAGGAGAGTTGGAACAAGCCCTCTTTATATATTGAAGAACACAAGTTCATTTACAACTTTATATCAGCCTTTTTTATTGAGCTTTGGTGAAATAAGTAAGTTTTTGTGAAGCACCTCATTTTAACACCATTTAAACACAAGGAATAATCTAAAATTTATAGTGTTTCCACAGCACTTATCCTTGAAAACAGATAAGCAGACACTCATCTTTAAGATGCTGAACATTTTATTAGCTCTTAAATATTAGATGATCCATTTCAGTTTATAAACCTGCTTAAGAATCTTTCTAAATTAAATTTTGCCAGATTAAGCAGTAACACTTTACAAATTTAATTTAAACAATAAATACACAGTACAGGATTCTGTGTAATAAGGCTTAAACAACTAAAATGTTTGAAATAAATAAATATAAAGGGGAATAACCAGACAAAAATCTACTGTATTACTTTAAGTACAGAGACTGAATGAGCCTGAGGACTTTTTGTTTGCCTGAGGATGGTCAGGATTTAAAGGAGAATATTCTTTGTTAGATGAAATGAAAATGCCAACTCTCTGATTTGGTCCTAATGATATGTGTTGAAATATTTCTGATCTCATAGGTTATGTGTTTTCAGAGCCTCTTGTGAGTTAAACAAATTTACTCAACTTACCCAGTGATTTTCAAAGTTGTTGGCGATGAGCGCTGAGCCGAAAGATCTGGCTGGGTTAATTCCACAGCCAGTGTAATCAATCTAGGAGGTGGAAAGAGAACCACAGGTGAGGCACAGATGAAGCTTCCCCATCATCTCACTGGCCCACCCCAAGCTGGGACATAGCAGATATAACCTCTGAAGGCTAAACTTACAGCAAGAAGATGGCCCAAGGCAACGGAGAGACCAATGGCCAAAGGTGCCGATCCCGAGACGTCGTTCCTTCTCCGGTCTGTGGTGGCCAGGACACACAGCACCAGCTGGAAGGTGGCAATGATTTCAATTCCCAGCCCTTGGCCTGCATTGATTCCCTCTGAAAGCTGCATGGAGGCAAGAAGGAAAAGGTTATTTCGTGCATTCCTGCATGACTTCAAGCAGTGTAACAAAGTTCTGAGGCATCTAATTCGTCAATATGAACCTGCACATCCATTTCTCTCCTGGGGTTTCCTTTTGCTTAACAGGGGGAAAAAACAGGAAGAAATAGAAAAAAAATTAAGAGAAGTTAGTTTTGAAACACTCCCTGCTGTACTCAAGCCTAGGCACAACGACTCTTTTTTTTGAGTCGTTGCTGCTTCCAGCCAAAGTGAACACTCAGCCACTGGGCACAGTGAGAGTGGAACTGACCTACGTGTGAGAAACAAATCAGCCAGAGACACCTCCAACAGAGTTTACCTTTCAGAAGTGAACTGTGGTGCCTCAGGACAGTCACTCACTGCTTCAGGGACTTCCACATTAATATTAAGATATTAATGTTTCACCTATACTGTGAATTAATTGCCTGAAAATATGCCTGTAATGCCACAGGAAATACCCTGAGATTTCCACGGAGTTCATGGGAGACTTGTAGATGTGACAGAAGACCAAAAGTACGTAAAACATCTCTAGATATTAATATTAATCAATGTATCTCTAACTGCACAGATAAGGATGCAGTCGATGGATATAAGATCCATTCACCTGATGAAATGAAGGAGACAATTTGAAAGCTCTGCCTTTTTTTTTTAAACAAATCTCATTTGACTACAAAGAGTTTAGACACCTAACTCACAGATGAACTACATTTTGGTGCCTTAGACTCAAAATGAAGCTCATTTCACTTCTTTGGGATACATTTAAAAAATCCCCATTTAAGGAATCCCAAGGGGCTGAAGGGAGTGCTTCAATTTCCTCTTGAAGTAGATGATCTAGAAAAACTGAAACTGTCAGGGGTAAATATTCCAATGGCATTATTAGTCATGAAATCAGCAGTTTCTTGTAAGTGTTGTAGAGCATATTGAAACCATGGGGATTCACTTAAATGGACATTACAGAGCAGAAATGCTGTCATATTTCAGGAAATGCTGTCATATAATACTGCTAAAAACTTGTGCCTAACACAAAACCATGGAGGTAAACAATTTTAGGTTATAACAAGTTTTGAGTTCTGCTTTTAATTGCTGTATTCAGTGGTGTCTCCATTAAGTCAAGGCAAGTCTGTAACTGAGCTGAATACCTTGATGTTATGCAGAAATAATTCACTTGCATGGATGGGATGAAACATGAGCTTGGCCACAGGCCAGGGAACTGAGAATGTGACCCAGAGTAGGAAGCAAGCTCTGCAAAACTTATATTAATTTGTGCTATCAGTGGGTTATCACATCAGTCAGAGCCCCTGCATTAAAAACTGCTGGGTCATTCGTGGCAAAAAAACATAATTATATGTTATTGTGACCTGTCCAGAACAATGAAACCACGGGAAATCCTGCTATTAGTCTGATTTTGTGGTATATGCCCCAATTTCCCCAAAGCTAATTTTTTGAAAACCTTAAAACTTAAGGATGGTTAACTGAACTGCTTCACTTTCCACAGGTGCTGTTCACATTTCTTGCTTCTTCTCTGTACCAAAGTTTACTATCAAATTCCTAAGCAATGGAAAAAAGTAATTTTAGTCTTTCCGTAGCATAAATCTGATTTTTAAATCCTGCTATTCTGTGATACTAATAATGTATTCTTATAGCTTGTTCTTTAACATGCAGGAGCAATATCCTCTGAGTTAGAAGTAGTTTGTCCATAAATAGAAGGGAATTTTGGTTGAAAGGATGGGTATTTTGGTCCCTTCAGCATCCACAGAGTAGAAACTGAAATCCACGTGAGAAGTATGAGTCTGACATAAATGCATCCATACAAGATGCACTGAAAATTGCAGGATCTAGAAATTCATGCTTGATATTTCTGAATTAATATTCTATTGGTTTTGTAAATTTTAAAAATAAACACTTTTTTTTTTCACTCTAGAGACAGTGGGATTCTTGTCTCTCAACAATTTAGGTTTCCAATGTGTTTCCTTGTATCAAAACCAATTTAAGAACCTGGACTATAAACCCTCTGGAAAATCTTATCTCACATTTGGAAGGCCAAATGGCCAAACCCAAAAGCCAGGTGTCTTAGGAAATAAGTGACTGATGTGCATATGCCCAAAAGCAGATAAAAAAAAAATTATTTTCCATCATAATGCAACCCCAAATCTCACATTTGGAAGGCCAAATGGCCAAACCCAAAAGCCAGGTGCCTTAGGAAATAAGTGATTGATGTGCACATGCCCAAAAGCAGATAAAAAACCAAATTCTTTTCCATCATAATGCAACCCCAGGGAACCCAGAGCTGAGGTCTGACACATCAGTGTTAGCATTTGACAAAGCCTTGACATTTTAAAAGATTAAACATTGCCCAACCACTGGGCTTTCCCTTCTCTTGAAGGGCTTCTATAAAAGACAATAAGAGCAAAATTATCCTTTAAAAACCTGTCATAATCCTTATCTTTGAGAGGTGGAAATCATATTCTTCCTTTCCCTCCAGGAAAAACACATCCTACAGCTGACGTGACTTGAGGTCATTCTCCCTGCTAATCAACACTTATTGATGGGCTGTGTGGGATCAAAGAAAGCCTGGAAATATCATAGGAAACCTTTTGCTTTCCTCCAGCCATGTAATGTTACACAGCCTGCCAGAAACATTAATATTCTACTGTGAGAGCAAGGACCCCGGGCTCTGCTCCAAAATGGGACAAACCCAAGCAAACCTTGAATGTCCTGCTTTGCTGGGGCCTGTGGATCTGCAGTGTGCAAGTGTAGGATAACAGAATATTTATTTGCCTCCTGATCAGAGGTAAATTACCCCTGCAGCAGCAGCCTGGGCCATCCATAGTACACATGGAACAGCACCAGTGTTCACCATCCCAAGCACACCCCAGAAAAGCTTTATAAAGGGAAAATAGGAAGGTACATTCCCTTCTGTCAAGTTGAAATGTACATGTGCATATTTATATTTATATTTATATTTATATTTATATTTATATTTATATTTATATTTATATTTATCATCCTCATTCATGGAGGGTTTGCAAGTCTTACCCAGATAACATTTTGCACCTTTTAAATCTGATGGTATAAGCTCTTGACAGAACAAGGGAGACACAACCAACATGAGTTTGTCATCCTTTCCTTGCATTTTCTTTATGTTATTCAGTTTTTTAAGGAAACTTTGAACTTTTGTGGAAGATTTTGTAGAATATCAGACTCCAGAAGCTTCATCTGAATTTAGTAGGAAGCAGTACCACACATTAGAGACCTGATTAAAAATCAACAGTTGTTCTTAACATCTGCTATTCTGTTGCTGAAAATATCCAAGATAGAAGGTGTCCAATGTCTCTGGTTCCTATATAGACAAAATAATGCTCTGAAATGAGACACAGCCACTTCTAGTGCAGTGTTGGCATGAAGAGGACCCTTTCCAGTGACCTGTACCCACTCTGCAAAGCCTTTTTCCCTGCACTGGTACCTCTTACCAGTGGTCATAGGGTATGTGGGCTGGCACTGCATCGGTCCTTGAGGCATCTGCTGGGAAATCTCTGACATCTTCTCTTTGCAGTCCAATAATCCTCATTAAGGTAACAGAAAAATTGTCAGAGGGCAGAGAACAGCATGGCAACTCCCTGAGCTTTTCAGGCTTCAGACCTGGGACACTTGAGGAATGGACTCAGAGCTTTAAGGAACCAAACATGCTCTAAGGGGTTAAATGAAACACACAAGCCCATATTCATCTCCAAGAGAGTCTACACAGACTTCTTTTCCTTTTTTGTTCACATGAATAATTCCACTAAACTTCATTTCAAATGTCAGTGTTTTGACAGAAGCAGCACCAGAAACACACATAAGAAATGGGCTGAATCATTGGCAAGATGGGAGAGTTGTCTGTGGACACATTTATCTGATCAGCTGAATCAATCTTGGCTGCATCAGATTGCAGTGAGTAATTCCCCCTCAACCTCACAGCTCCCAGACAAGAAGCAGAGCATGTAGACACCCCAAGGGAGGTGCATCCTCCTGTGGGCTGAATTCCACAATTTCCAGCCTTAACAATCCCATGATTAATATTTTTCCCCCTCAATTCACTGTGAATCTGGACAAGGTTGTGGAATAAAAATCTACCAGAATTCAGTAAGTGTACAGAAGTCACATCTTATTCTGAAAACTCCTGAGATGCAACTGACTGGAAACTAAGAAGGCACAGTGGCTCAAGAGACATACAAATGAGGAGTGTTAAACCCCCAAAAAAACATTATCTAGACATGAACATGAGAAGAACACCTGATTTATGTCTTAGGAAATGGGCAGTGGCCACATCGCTTCCAACTCTCCATAACATCACACAGGAGATGGGAACCACAGAATTTGTTTCCCAGAAGTGCCCTTAACTGCCATGTTTAGCTGACTGACTCCCACAGCAATCATTTGGGCAAATTAATAGTATGTTTTCTTTCCTTTTGATTTTTTTTTTAATTTTTTTTTTTTTTTTTAGGACAGGATATTTATGAGTTGTCTGCCTTCAGAAGAGAAACAGGGACAGGAAATTAAACTGGCCCAAGGTAAACCCCACTGTGTACTTCTCTAGTGGCTTCATATTTTTCTCATTACCAGTGAAAGTATATCAAGTTCAAACTTGTTTCCCGTTATATGGATAAGACACTTTGTTATGCAAGGTGGTTCCATCACGTGGGGCTGAGCTCCGTCTCATCCAGCAAACCCTTAGCCCTGGATTGGAGCTTCCAGGGCCCAGCTTCCTTTCATATAACAGGGATTAGTTTCTCATGGTTCCAGAAAAGAAAAAATTGAAAAGAAAAGAGGCCTCTGGTATTGCAAAAGTCTATTTTTTAGCAGGGGGAATGCCAGCTTTCCCAATTCTTATGAAACACCAGAGCAAGCCCAGTCTGCTGGTGTGGTTTTGAGGGAGAAAATTTAAGCCACAGCAATTTTAATGGCTAGGACTTCTCTTCCTTGCATAT